ACCATTTAGTCACCCCATTAATCTTAAGAATTGTTCTATTATGCTTTACACCCTTAATTTGAGCTCATTCAAGTTCAGAATGGACCATTTTTTTATGATGTTAAGTTTGTCATGTCAAGATTCAACTTGATTATAAGTTTGCTAAAATTAGAGTTCAGATGATCAATAATTTGATTTTGGATCGAAGTTTTCAATTTGAATATATTTTGAGATTCATGCTCGATCAAGGTGAGCTTTGGAGATGTATTAATTATCCTTAGCATAATAATCGTTATTTTTTTTTTATGTATATATTTCTTAGAATATTGTATAGTTTATTATCATTTAAGTGTATGCATATTATAGGTAATGAAAATAATTATAAATAATATATATATATATTATATATATATATATATTATCAATAAATTTTTCTTTAGGGATAAATGTTACAACTTCTGAATTTTATGCACTAAAATAGTTAACGCATTCTTTATATATCACCAAAAATCATCTTTATCAAGCTTGAATCTCGAAGCATATATAAGTTGAAAACTTTCGAAGTAAATTCAGGATCATCCAAAATCCAATTTTATTAGACTTATAGTCAAATTGAACATCTCAAGGCCACGAACATAACAACATCAAAATCAGTCAAATTCTAACTCAAATGAGTCCAAATCAAGAGGCCAAAGCATATTTGGAATGTTCAAAGCATTAATTGGATGACCAAATGGTATCAAAACATGGCATGCTTATAGTTAAACAGAGCAGCTCGACGAGCCGAATCCAATGAGCCCAATATTGGTTAATTTTGTTATCAATAAGGCAATTAAATATTGAATGAATGCCCTATAGCTAAGGAAATTAGTATGGGCCATCTGATAGAGCACTATGAATCTACGCCTATATTAGGGAGTAAGTGAGCTGAGCCGGCTCAATCACGACTCGTTAACAAGTTCATGAGTCGAGCTTATTTAGCTTCAAGCGTTATCTTGAGCAGAATTTTAGCTTGTTGGATTATCAAGTTCGGGTGATGCTCAGCTCGATTACTCTCAAGTGTTCTTGAGTGTCTCAATTAGTGATATGAATTAATTAAGGATGGGAAAACCACAAGCAAACCATGGAAGGCAGAAGGTCCAGGCAACGGCAGAAGCGAGGCGTAGCGTGGAAGCATGGACGACGTCTGTACATGTGAAGCACAAAAGGTTTGCCAGCTCATTTTTTCAATGGCATGAGCTAAGATCGAGCTTGCCTTTTGAGCTTAGGTTTTGGCTTGCGAGTTGACCTCTAGTTAGGCATGACTCAAGCTTGACTCAACTTGTTTGCAACCCTACCCTAGAGTTTCACCACATTTACAAGGTGTGCCACTAAAAAAAAAATTATAAATAGACTCCCACTCTTTATATAAGGGAGACCTTTAATTAGAGCTTGAAGAGAGCTTAAAGACTTCAAGGATCCTATAGTTTTACCCAAGCACCATCGCTGACAAACTTCTGTTGACCGTCGTTGGACCACCACCTAGCCTCCGACCATTACCATACCACCACATGTCCGTCGACTGTCACTGAACAACCACCCGTCCCCTGACCTTCGCTAGAACACCGCCTAGCCGCCTTCGCCAGAACACTGCTTGGCCGCCTTCGCCGCATGACCTCTACTCGGGCACCAATCGTCACCGAACCACTGCTGGTCCTCTGATCACCATTGGACCTCCACCAGGCAAGCATCAACATACATTTGTGACCTATGTATAACAATTAAAGCATATTTGAGAATATGTGAGAATTACACAATTTTTTATAATGATAGACAACAAAAAACCTTTCAAAGCAAATATGCAAAATTTGAATAATTAATTAAATTAGCAAGAATTGTGTAAAATATTGTTTTAAGGTTAATCGTATTACACACTATTATTTAACATGCATATAATTTTTTATTCAATAAAAACCTCACAAATACAGTCCCTTCTGCCTACATCATTCACCAACTATAGTCCCTCCAACTTCCATCACCCACTAAACTAAGGATCCTCCGACCTCCGTCTCTCACTGACTACGATCCCACTAACCTTTATATCCAGCTGACCAAGGTTTCTCTGACCACCGTCTATGGCCAATTACAACTCCTCTGACCTATAATCCCTCCGACCTCCTTCGCCACTCGATTATGGTCCCACTGACCGCCATTGTCTACATACTATTATTCCTCCAACCTCTATCCCCCGCTAACTACAGTCTATCTAATCACCTTGGCTCACCAATTAAGGTCCCTCTGACCACTGTCACCTTCCGACTACAATCCCTTCGACCACCATTACCTGCCTATTAGGATCTCTCTGATCTTCATCGCTCATGACTACAGTTTCTCCGAACACCGTCACCAGCCAACTACAGTCCCTCCGACCACCGTTACCCGTCGACTACAATCTCTCTAACCTTCATCGCTTGTCGACTATGGTCCCATCCACCTCCATCGCCTGCAGACTATAATCCCTCCTACCTCTATCATCCATTGACTACGGTTCCTTCGACCATATGGTCCCACAGACCTCTGTCGCCCATCGACTAAGGTCCGCCTGGCCACCATCACTTGCCGACTACGATACTTTCAACCTGCCTCACCGACATCTATGGCCTGGACCAATGTTGCCTAATTACAATCTACTGACTAAACGAACAAGCCAACACTCTCTTGAGAATAACTCTCATATCACTATATTCTTCCAACTCCTATCATATAATGTGATCTATATGATTTATATTTACTACGTCAAGCCAATGTCTTCCCCTCATAGAAGTGTCTCATTTGTAATAAAAAATACACACTACAAAAATTAGAAATTCAATCTCATTAAATATGATTTTCAACAAAAAAAATTTGAATCTCAAAGCTCAAAATTAAGGCGAACTTTTGAAAATACTTCAAAAGCTATCCCAGTAAATGTTTCCCAATACATCCCGCTTGATAAAGGCAAAACTCCCTAAATTATTATGCCCTGTTGCTCAAAGCCCTCCAATGAACATTTATTCATTTTCTCAGCGTGGTAGCCTGCTTAAGTTAACAAACGATCAAGCCAAAACTATACAGAGCCACTCTAAACCATTATAGTTCGATTGAACACCTAGACGGTGTCACATGACAAGTCATTTTTATGCTCAATTGACAAATATCTCCTATTTTATGACATGAAACTAAGCGAATGCAACAATTTTACAACAAATAAGCAAATAAAAATTGCTTATTTCATGATAACTACACACTTTCATTAGAGCATTATTCTTCTTTGAATCAAGGTATAGATAGCAACACAGAATAAAACAATAATAATTCATAAAAATAGGTGACTGTACAAGATAAGTTTGTCTTTCATTTGAAAAAATAAGTTCTAATTACAAAAATTATCATCCCTCCATTTATTACACAAAATTGCTTGACATATATATGAATGACATACATTATAAAATTCACAAACACTAAAAAACTAGTATTACATTGCTCTAATACTTAAATACTACATGAAGACAATAACTTTCTGATGAAAGAATCTATCAAAAAATGAACAAAGACCATCAAAAATTATATTTCTTGCAGATTTTAGTTCAGAGAAAATCTTGGCCGGAAAGGAATTCCGATGGCTGACTTTCCCTAAAAAAATTTGCTGGAAATCTTAAGCAAAAATAAATGGTAGGAAATCTACTAGTTGGCCAGCTGGAGTTGTTACCAGCATATCTAAATTGTCAAAATTTCAGGCGGAGCAATAAATCTTCCCTAAATTTGAGTGATTTAGATATGCAGATAAAACTTTTGTTGGTTAGTACCATAAAAAATTTCAGTTAAAATCCATCAAAATATATAATTGTTTTTATTTTTGAAAATGTGGGCTAAATGGAGTTAGGCCAACTCACGAAACAAGAATGATAACCAGAAGAAGCCCAATGTAATCTCAATATTTGAATTAACGATACTTAGAGCATTTGAGTTTGCATCTGCGAACAAATAAACTTGCTCCAAATACAAACCATAACAATTACATGTAGTTAGTAGCAACTAAAAATTCAATAAAGACTTGTCAAAGAACTTATAACTATCACCAGCTAAATAAGTATTAAAACCATAAACGGAAGACTATTATCTTAGACATCATGATGTAGATAAAAACACAAAAATGCTATCTGCCAAACATTTACATAGAATAAACTATTTAAATGATTCTTTCCTCTTCATAATTAGTTATAATCTGATGGCACGAAAAGAAAATTTTCATCCTCCAAAATCTAAATCAAATTTCAAGCTTACAAAGGCATTGTAATTCAACAAAAATATTTTTTACATGTAAAATAATGATTGTGAAAATTATTCCTCGAGAATTTGATGAAATATTCCACTGACCATCAACCGCTAAACTATATAAGAAATTAATGCTCAATTTTCATTCAAAAATTAAATCCGGATGTCTAAATTAAATAATTATTTACATTTAAAATTAAAGACAAAAACCTATTAGTCATTTATGAAGTAAAATATGTATTAAACAATGTGTATGCTACTAAAGAAAAAAAATAAACTTATCATGATTTAATAGTTTACAAATTAAAACATTTTCATGATAAACAAAAGTAACAAAATATATTTTAGCATTAGTTTAAGATTTCAGGAAATTTGGAAAGATATAAAGTTCCAAGCATTGTACAACATCCAAGAGAAGCAATTTGAGTGCTTTCAAGTGATGACTAAAGAACTTCTAGAAGTTCTTCTAGACAAATTAAATGTTCACAATATTGTGAAAAAGTGAAGGTAAATCATCAATTTCAGGTGATAATGAGGGAAAAAGGCTTAATATATTGCATTCGCTTAACATAAAAATTATTGTATGATCAACTAAATTATTAACACAATGCATGTCAAATCGGACAATGCAAGAGCATAAAATTACTCGAATAAAGAGAAAGTAAGAAGAAGTGAAAAGGGCTTCAAGTGAATGTTACAATATTTCTCAATGAAAAGTGTGCATAAAATTAAAATGCAATTATGTATTTTGATTGCAATTATAAAATTCTTACATCTCATACACTAAAAGAGAGTTAAAAAATGAAAGGAAAAAAAAAAAAGATACATTAGTTAATTTCCAATTCCAATGAATACCTGACTTTAGGATGCACCAGTCTTCTTGCATCTCTCCTTTACTAGTTTTTGTGCACAAATAATAAATTCACCTTATTCTGCTCGATCTTCTTTTTATTCTTCTTTCTTTCGTCTTCCCACACAAAACTTTCCTCGGCTTTCTATTTCATTATTGGTTTTTGGAGCATTTGAGCATGGGACTTAACCATCAATTCCTGTAAAGGAAGGATGACCAGAAACCAAAGCAGAAACATGTACCAAAAGTCACAAATAAGCATTTAGAGCAACCATTCTTATGTTTTTTACCTACAATATAAGCTCAATATTTAAGAGAAAAATATGGAGTCCATGATGGGATGATAAATAATAATGAAATCGTACAAGTTTTCAGGACCTATAAACTCGAAGGTCACCAAATCGAAAATTACTACCTTGAGGAAAAAATAATCCTTAATATAATACAATAAGCAAGCAAAGGAATTAAATTCAAAACAATTTCAGAGGCTATAAGACTTCTAAACACAACAAACATGCATAGTCTAGCAGACAAGTCACCATTTTTAATGAAAATAATGAAATGAAATCATGAAATTCATATTGAATTAGCAACTGAAAAGATAAAAAATGGTGTGATTTCAATGTTGTCTGATTGCATTTAAAGAAACCAACGATTTGGAGTAGTTATGATGCAATTAAAAAATAAAGTTTAAGAGACAATGAAAACAGTAACTTTCTGATGGGAGAATCTCTCAAAAAATGAACAAAATAAATCAAAATTATATTTCTACCAGATTTTAGTTCATAGAAAATCATGGCCGGAAATGATTTCTGATGGCTGAATATACCTAAGAAAATTTGCTGGAAACCTACTAGTGGGCCAGCTGGAGTTGTTACCAGTATATCTAAATTGTAAAAATTTCAGGCAAAGCAATAAATCTGTCATAAATTTGAGTGATTTAGATCTGCTGGTAAAATTTTTGTTGGTTAGTACCATAAAAAATTTGAATCAAAATATAGAATCATTTTCTTTCTGAAAATGTGGGCTAAACGAAATTAGACGAACTCGAGAGACAAGGGTGATAACCAGAAGAAAGCCCAATGCAATCTCAATATTTGAACTAATGATACTAAGGCTTCGTTTGTTTTTTTAGTGCTTTTGTAGAAGACAGTTTTAAAAAACATTAATTTAGAAAATGGAGTTTTGTAACGGAGAAGCATATATAAAAAGCTTTCTCAAAACTGCAGAAAAATGAAAAAAAGGAGTTATTGAGGACGTGATTTGGCGAACCAAACAACACAAAAAAAAAATCCTCCGTTTCCAAAAACGGAAAAGACAAAAAAACGCTCAAACAAACAAAGCCTAAGAGTATTTGAGCTTGCGTCTGCGAACAAATAAGAGCAACTCAAAATTAAATGAAGCCCCGTCAAAGAACTCCTAACTATCACTAGCTACATAAAACTCTTGTTAGTAAAAACTACGTTTGAAACAGTATTAAGATCATAATATGGAAGACTATTATCTTAGACATCATGATGTAGATAAAAACACAAAAACGCCGTCTGCCAAATATTTACATAGAGTAAAATATTTAATGATTCTTTCCTCTTCCTAATTAGTTGTAATCGGATGGCACGAAAATAAAATTTTCATCCTCCAAAATCTAAATCAAATTTCAAGCTAACAAAGGAATTGTAAGTCAACAAAAAGATTTTTTAATTGTAAGGCAATGATTGTGAAAACTATTCCTCAAGAATTTGACGAAATATTCCACTTCCCATCAAGCCACAGGTATTAAGAGAACCACATACTATTCAACAAAAAAGTTAGTGCACATAAACAACGCTTCAAATTAAGGCAATTAGTAGTCAAATGGGATGTTTGTATTAATTTCGAACGAGCTTTCCTAGTAAACAAGTCACATAAAAGAAAATAAAAAAGTTTAAACTAATGTAACACAATGAATAAAAAGAATATAGATCCACTCCCAGTTGGTAGGAGTATATTTTTACATAGTGAAATACAAATTTGAAAGAAATTTATGAAAAATATTTAGCATCAAATCAAATATAATTCATCATTTTTTACCAAAAATACTAATTTGCAAAATAACTTTTTTACACATGAACATAGCGCTAATTCAAAACAAATTAGGTGGGTTATAAAATTATAATAAATTTATATGAGAATATATAAGAAATTCATGCTCAATTTTCATTCAAAAACTAAATCCTGATGTGCTGAATTCAAAAATTATTTACATTTAAATTTATATTTATTGATATAACTGCAAGACAAACACCTATTAGTCATGTAAGAAGTAAAATATGTATTAAACAATGCGTATGATACTAAAGAAAGAATTAAGCTTATCATGAATTAATACGTTTACAAATTAAAACATTTTCATGATAAACAAAAGAAACTAAATATATTTTAGCATTAGTTTAAGAAAAATGACAACTTAATGTAATCATTCTAAAATAACTAACAGATTTCAGGAAATTTGGAATGATATAAAGCTCCACGAATTGTACAACCTCCAACAGAAGCAATTTGAGTGCTTTCAAGTGATGACTAAAAAACATCTAGAAGCTATTCTGGATAAATTAACTGTTCACAATATTATGAAAAAGTGAAGGTAAATCATCAATTTTAGTTGTTAGTGAGGGAAAAAGGCTTAATATATTGTCATTTGCTAAACATAAAAATTTATTGTATGATCAACTAAAATATTAGCATAATGCATGCCAAACCGAACAATGCAGGAGCATAAAATTACTCGAATAGAGAGAAAGTCAGAAGAAGTGAAAAGGGCTACAAGTGAATGTTACAATTATTTCTCAATGAAAAGTGCACATAAAACTAAAATGCAATTATGTATTTTGATTGCAACTATAAAATTCTTACATCTAATATACGCTAAATGAGAGTTAAAAAACGAAAGGAAAAAAATGATGCACTAGTTAATTTTCAATTTCAATGAATACCTGACTTTAGGATGCACCGGTCTTCTTACATCCCTCCTTTTCTTGTTTTTGTGCACAAATAATACCTTATCCTGCTTTTCTTTTTATTATGCTTTCTTTCATCTTCGCACTCAAAACTTTCCTCGAATTTCTATCTCATTATTGATTTTGGAGCATTTGAGCATCCGACTTAACCATCAATTCCTGTAATGGAAGGATGACAAGAAACCAAAGCAGATACATATATGAAACCACAAACAATCATTCAGAGAAACCATTATTAAGTTTTTTACCTACAATATAAGCTCAACATTTAAGAGAAAATTATAGAGTCCAAGACGGGATGATAAATTATAATGAAATCATACAAGTCTTCAGGACCTATAAACTCAGAGGTCACCAAATCTATAATTACCACCTTGACGAAAAAATAATCCTTTTAAAAAATACAATAAGCCAGCAAAGTAATTAAATTCAAAACAGTGTAAGAGGCTATAAGACTTCTAAACACAACAAACATGCATAGTCTAACAGTCAAGTCACCATTTTTAATGAAAATAATGAAATGAAATCATGAACTTAATACAAGGTTTTGTTCAGTATGCCAGATTGAATTAGAAACTGAAATGATAAAAATGGTGTGGTTTCAATGTTGTCTGACTGCATTTAAAGAAACCAACAATTTGGAGTAGTTATGATGCAATTATTTAATTGATCAAAAAAATCGTATTGGAATTTTGTGCTAATCAATTGTTTAAAATAAACAATTGCTTGGAATTCTTATAAAGGGAAATATATAGATTTGTGAAATCAATAAGAGAAACATACCCCAAAAGTGCAATTTTCCCATGGCGACTGGCCTCCCTCTAGTTTGGATCATTCAACAATGTCCTCACCTAATAGTGGTAAATGCGCTAAAACTAGCAAAAGGTGTTGTGCTTTGTCCCTTACCTGTAGCTTTTTTCACAGTTGAAGTTTCATAAATTTTCCATAACCTCAATGTTTTATCGCCAGCTGCTGATGCTACTCTACATCCATCAGGGCTTTGACACATGCACAGAACCCGAGAAAAATGACCATTGAGTTCAACTAACTTCTCCATAGATGGATACCTCCACAATACCAAATTGTTGTGAGGTAGACCATGAGAGCTCAACAACTCTCGCTCATTCTTACTCCAGATAAGTCCAGAAACCTGTGAGCTAGTATCAACTGAACTAAGACAATTTCCTATGTCTGTGTTCCAAAATCTGAGGCATCCATCACTCTCACCACCGCCAGTGGCAAGCAAGTTTCTCTGAAAAGGACACCATGCAAGAGCTTTAACTGCACCCGTATGCTCCTCAAACCGGTGGAGCCACTGGCTTTGATTTGAAGTTGTGTTAGAGGAAGCCATGGAGCAATCCCACACATGAACAAGATTGTCATTACCTCCGCTGGCTAACTTTTCTCCAGAACCCGACCATTTTAGCCCACAAACCTCCATATGGTGCCCTCTATATTTTTGGACAACGTGGGATCTAATTCTCACGTCATTGTTAACAATATTTCCATCCATTCCACCTGTTGTGAGGATTCCTCCATTCCAAGCAAGAGATCCTACTCTGGACTGATGAATGCCTTCTAGAGTTCTCAATGGACGATTTGATGTAACGTCCCACAACTGAACAAAGGAATTGGACAACCCAAGGGCAATGTTCTTCCCATCGGGAGCCCAAGAGACGCTGCTCACAGGACCAACATGATCATCAAATGTCAACAATTCAAAAGCTGATCCGACAGAAGCATCCCACAAGTAAACTGAGTTCCCAAGGGCAATAGCAAGGATATTTCTTTTTCCCCAATCAAGCAGATTTAAATAAAAATCATCCTCCAAATTAGGCGCATCAAGTATCCTCTCAGCAGATTGAGGAATATACCTCTTATTCTTCAAAGGCCTTCTATGATTGGAAGGAGAACCAAAGAAAATTTCTGGGAATATCTCTTCAGTCGGCGCGGAAGGCTTGCTATTGAATTCAAGTATCCGAGTTCGATTCTCCAAAAGAACGCGGTCAAGAATCTCCCTGTAGGCCCCTTTTCCTTTTCCTGAAGATGATATCCCGGAATTGTTCTCCTTCTCCTTTCTTGGAGCGGCCATTAACATATAGTGGGCGATGTCAAGGTTCATTGCGGATCTATTCGGAATAAATCTATCGCCACCACCTTGCCGCGAAGAGGAAGATTTGGAAGAGAAACGACCTAAATTGCGACATATTGCTCTGGCATCCATCAAAAAAAGATTAATCCAAAGAAATAAATAAAATTAATTCTGTAAGACAAAAAGAAATAAGAATGATGAAAGCTTCAGCAAGGTCGAGATGCAGGCTGAAATGTTGATGGTAGCGGAATATAGTTAGGGTTATGGAACTCCGTCAACCGTTCACAAACCGCAAAGAGTCGCAACCCAAAACAGATTTCTCAAAGATGATCCGTAAGCTTGCTGGAAGATTTCGAAGGAATTGCAGTAGCCAGTGAAAGCACAGAACTTGGGTTTCGAGTGTAGAAGAAAGCGCACAACGGCAGAACTATGAATTAAAATTCTGAAGGGACTCTGCTTCTATTTATAGGGTGGTTTATGCTTATTTTTAGAAGTTTTTTTTTTAATTATTTTTTGAGATGTATTTTTGGAAAGATTACCTAATAAATCTAAGAATTCAAAATTCAGAAGCAAGATATTTAGGAAAATTCAAAATTCAGAAGCAAGATGTTTAGGAAAATTCAAAATTTAGTTTCCTTTTAGAGCTTTTATTTATTTTTCAAAATTTAAATGATTTGTCTCTAAGATTTCTGCTTCCAAAACTAAAGATATATATAATTAGAATATTAATCTAATGCGATAAAGAAATGTATTGACCATCACAATTAAAGCATCCAACACTAACTTATAATTTGCATTGAAATTTTAAAAATTAAGATATTATCATAACAGTAAACAGCTGAAGCTTTTTAACATCAATAACACGTACCTAATTGCTAAATTAATAAATAGATAAATTTGTTTTAAACAAATTAACTACCATTTAATTTTCCCTTATATTATAATTATTGGGAATATCAAACAATTGATTTACATAAATTTAAAAGTACAGTTTGTCATTTTACTTTTAATAATTATAAAATATATTATACTTTAAAAAACTAATTTTAATTGTGTGTGCATTAAGTGCACATCGTTAATAAAAAATATATTATAAATATCTTAATTAACGAGTATATGGTATTAGCCTGTGGAACATTTCCTTATCCTATAACCATTGTATTTACTACTTTACCTGCTCTTGGCCTATATAATGGCCCTGTAACTTTGTACATGATTTTAATTCAATTACTTCAACTATTTTACATTTCCCGCTCTGTTCTCGCAGCCTGCTTCCTTCACACCGCCTCTCTCATGGTATCTTGAGCCAAAATGGGGGACCCAGATTCAGCAACCTCCCTCCCTTCCTCTTCCTCTGCCATTGTCGGCAACTCCACCGAGCTTCCCATACTGGCATCACTCAAATTTCTCATCTCCAACGTCAAGAATCTGATCCCTCAACCTCTCACCGTCGACAATTACGCGATATGGCGTATACAGATTATACAACACTTCACCGCCAACAGTTATGCCAGACATCTCACCGGTAAAACTCCACCACCCTTCCCCGAAACTTCTCAAGAACATCACAGCTGGCTTCTCGTTGACAGCAATTTGATTTCTTCATTATTTTCCACCATATCTCCCCACATTCTTCCATATGTAATCAATTCCTCCGCCGCCCACGATGTCTGGACGGTTCTTGAACGCCGGCTTCAACCAACGAGTCGGTCCCGTGTCATCCAGCTCAAGAACGAGCTCCACCACATACAAATGAAAGATCTAAGCATGCAGCAATACCTCTCTCAAATCAAGAACATTGTTGATAACATTGCCGCATCAGGATCGCAAGTCGATCCGGAAGATGTCGTTCTCTACATCCTAAACGGGCTCCCATCATACTATTTTAATTATCGTTTATTTCTTTAATACCAAAAAAATTTTAAGTTTGATACGTCATAAAAAAATTATCTTAATCGGGCACGAATCTCGATGCAAAATCAAGTTGAAAACTTCCGAAATTAAAATTGAGACCATCTGAACTCCGATTTTAACAAACTTACAGTCAAACTGAACGTCTTAGAAATACGAACCCAATGATTTCAATTTCAACTCAATACGAGCCGAAATGAGTCCAAATCAAGGACCCGAAGTGCTATTGGAAGGTTTGAACCACAATTTGGATTACCAAACAGTTTCCAAACATGAAGTGCTTATAGTTGAATCGAGCGGCTCGACGAGAAGAATCCAACGAGCTCAAGATCGCCAAATTCTGACATCACTAAGACATTCAAATGTCCATAAAATGGTCCATAATTAAGGGGTTCAACATCGGCCGTCCATCCAACCACTCCCTATTTTCCCTTGATCCTTCTCCTATTTACGGGCCATGCCACTCCATAAATCTATAAATAGACTCTTCATTCCTCTTGAAAAGGGACCGGAGCAAGAAGAGAAGAGAAGGAAGAGAAGGAAGAAGCTCATCCTTGACAACTGTCGGACTTCCGTCGGACCACCGCCTGACATCGTTGCTCCGCCAGACCACCACTTGAGGCCCTCACTTCCGCCGGACCACCGCCTGACGTCGTTGCTCCGTTGGACCACCACTTGAGGCCCTCACCTCTGTCGAATTACCGCCTGATGTCGTTGCTCCACCGGGCCACCACTTGAAGTCCTCACCTTCGTCGGACCATCGCCTGAAGTCGTTGATCTGCCGGACAACCACTTGAGGCCCAAACTTCCGCTGGACCATCGCTTGAGGCCATATGCTCCACCAGGCCACCATCTGAGGCTCGAACTTCTGTCGGACCACGACTTGAGGCCCCGAGCTCCACCAGGACACCACCTGACGCTTGGAGTTTTGCCGGACCACTATATGAGTCCCAAACTTTTATCGGACAGCCACTAGAAGCCCATAATTCTACCGGACCACAATCTGAGACTTGAACTTCTACCGGGCCACCACTTGACACCGAGAGTTCTCCTAGAGTACCGCCCTTATACTACAGTCTTTCTGACCCCAGTCTCTTGCCAACTACGATCTTTCGGACCCCTATCTCCTGCCGACTACGATCCTTCAGACCTCCATCGCCTACTATGGTCCTTCCGACCTTCATCACCAAACAACGATCTTTCCGACCTATATTCTGTTTATTATGATAATGCCGACCAAACAAACATGTAAATTTCATCATGTAGTGTGCTCTATATGATGTACATTTGTACCATCAAGCCAAGGCCTTCTCCCAAGGAAGGGCTTCATTTGTAATCGACTGCAAATATTTGTGGATTCATTCAAACTAGGCCAGACCCCGTGGTTTTTCACTCTTTTTAGGGTTTTCCATGTAAAAACTCTGGTGTCTCTTATGAACACAACACCCACTATCTAATCTGCTTGTGTGCTGGATTTTCGTACAATGCTAAGACGTTAAACTTCATATTTCTCTACCACCGCGAATACTCCAGGACGCAACAAAGTTAATACCCTTATGTAATTTTCTTGTTATTGTGTAAGGAAACATTCATTGTGGGAGAGAGATAAAATATTTAATATCTTAACTTTTGAAGATCTAGCACACTCGTAGATAAAGAGAGGATCGAATACAAGAATAATAAGACACCATATTTTTTTACGTGAAAAATCCATGATATGATAGAATCGTAGATATCATAGAATCATATAGGACCTAATTCAATCGAAATGACTTCGATAGTTTTTTTAATTAATTACAAATGATACTTTTTTTGAGAGAGAAGACCATGATTCAATGGATAGAACATATCTATATCCATATTCCTTACAAGCGTCTCTTAACATTCTTCCCAAAATGACTCTCAATCGTACATTTGCAAAATAAATCCTCTCACATGCGTTTTGGCGAAAACACTGTCTTCTACACAATCTTTTGTATCACGTATAATAACTATTAAAAAATCCTTTCAAACCACTGCAATCTTTGACTCTTCTCCGAATTTTTTCTACGATGGTGGCAGGAAAGTCCAGATTTTCTTCAAAGTTCCACCGGTGGTAAAGGTTTGCATCTTCTCTCTCTCTCTCTCTCTCTCTCTCTCTCTCTCTCTCTCTTTATTATTTTGATGTTTTCTTTGCTGAAGCTTTGATGAACACTTTAGTTGCATCATATTCTCTTTATCCCCCTCTCTCTCTCTCTCTCTCTCTCTCTCTCTCTATTTCTTTCTCTCTATATATGAACTTTTAACTTTTCCCGTTCTGATATGGCTTTGATAAATGGATATTAATTTAATTTTCTTTTTTGAATTTAACTTTTTGTTGTCTTTAAATAGTTAAATAGTTGTTCTGAGTGAAATCTTTTATAGCCGTTGGATCAAAATCAAGCAATCAATCAACACTCAACACATGTAATTAAAAACACATCATCCTTATCTGACCAAATACTCTTGCTGCCCTTATACTGTTAAAGAAAGGCTGTTGTTTTTCTGCTTTGAATACATTAGATAATGTTATGTCCTTTTACCTTTCATTATATCAGCTCTCGGTTTTGCTGCTTTGAAAATACTTCATTCAACCCTCGGTATAGCAAACATATATGTCATGAAATCTTGCTAGATTAAGCACTTCTTCATTAGCATGCACAGTTTTTTTATTACACAAAAGAGAGGTTGATTTGATGACTTTCATTCGAGACCTCCAAATTACAATGAAGGTAAGATAATTATTACTCCACACCCATTCAAAAAATCTATATATTTTCTTTATAATTGAATTTTACTTTTCTTTTAGCCACGTTATACTAATTGATTAAGGAAAAGCGACCAAAATATGAAATGATGGGAATTAAATCATTGAATTTTAAGAATATATCATTTAAAAAAAAAAGTATACAAAAAGTCTATCACCAATCTCTCATTTTATAGTATTATGTTGCAAAATCATAGGACTAGAAATCACAAAATAGTTCATTATGTTATGCTAGTCACACATGTTAAAGACAAGTATAACGACTAAGTTCTCATAAGAATTTTTCGTTGGATAACAGAAACCATAAATTACATTTCATGAATCTATGTGGGCTAAAAAAATTCGTGCCCCAACCTCTTCTCTTTCGGGGGAGTTTTAACATATTAAGTTATGGGATAAATTTTCAAAAGAAAGATTGAGTTTGAAATAAGACAATGCCCAGAGATTTGCACTCATTTTGCAAAAACTTTATAATCTGAGTTCCGGTTTTCTATAGGCATAGGCCCCTATAGTTAATTACCCTTCCTGATAATAAAAGAGAACTTTCGATTAAGGCAAGTCATCGACTGATATGTAGATATACATGTTATCTGGGGTATAGTAGCAACATGTGTTTATGAGTTGCAAATTTAATATTTAAAATAAAAATTCACCAACTTGCACTTAAAGTAGATGGTCGGAGAATGGATGATGAGATCGATCAAGATCCCATGGTTTCGTCGTCCCGGGCTATCTTTGTCCTTGGTCTACTTAGTCAGAGGAGGTATTTGACCCAAGTTGATAAAAGGATCCTTATTTGCAGCCATGGATTGCTTCGTCCAAAGGTACTTTGTAGACCTGAAATGAGTATTTGTTTAAGGGGACAA